GTATCAAAACAAGGTCAACTCTAGCCTCGCTGCCATACAAAGGCCAGGTCACTGAGCAAACAACTGTAAAATGGTCTATTGACAGAACAAAAGCAGTGGGGTCTACATCAAAACAAGGTCATCTCCAGTCTTGCTGCCATTCAAACGCCAGGTCAGACAACTTTAAAATAATTTGTCTATTAAATCAGCAAGCAATTTCATATTGGGTCCTTGAATACAAGCACCTAAAGTGCAAGTGTGTACCAAGACTTGTGGGTGACAAATTATGCGGGAAGAGATGACAAGTGCCAATTTTGCTCTCTTACTCACTATAAGTGCCACTCAGCGCCTTGTGCTTCCCTCAAATGTGATCTTGCTTGGCACAGGCTAAGACTTATCCCATATTTGAAGTCAAAATTTTCATTCTAAAAATGTATAACATAGCTGTATAGAGATCAAATCAGTTTCTCAGGGGTTGTCAATGCTGTTTACTTTTCAAATGAAACAACCATTTAGAGAGTGACACCGTGTGAATCTTATTGCTATGTCATCAGAATGGAACTTTGAATTTGTTTGTACCCAGAAAATGTCTTAAGCATGAAAAGAATGGTGTGGGTGGAAAAGGGCACAGCTTGATTCTGCTGACTCAGCATTATTTCGATGCCAATACTTTTAAATCTTTAAGAGGTACTCTACTGCAGCTTACACCAGGAAAATCTTAAGTTGCACTTTCATTACCCTTAGCTCAAGAGTTGTGGGAGGGATACCGCATTGAGCAAGCAACTTGCCTTCCCTTCTTTCAGCTTATTTTAAGGTATTAATAAGCTTACAATTCAACTTAGTCCCATTTGGCAAAGGAATCAATGCCCACTAACTACCTTTTCTGAGGGCAACATGTGCATCTCTCGACACAGGCCCACTTCCATCGCTTTCATCTTCTAGGCCCGGGAAATCAAACACTTCTTCCTCGTCCAGTCGTTCATTGCGAGGAGACACCGGTCCTTTTCGTCTCACATTTACCTTTCTCTCCATAAAACCTTCTAACACAGCACAAATACCTTAAAATATGTGGAGTTTCCTGGATGAATACAGCACCGTCACGACGGTTGGTCTTGGCAAGGTTCGTTCTAAATTTTATGTAAAGGGGAAAACAACGCCAAATTATCTCACTGTACAAAAATAACTATTTCGTTTTCCGTATCAGAAAACGGTCACACCGAGGGACAAGTCTAGTTCACTTCCGCTTTCGCTTTGCTATGAACTGACGCTTATAGTCGCAGTAGCATGCAGATGTCGCGGAGTCGTCGCAGATGTTTGTCGAGAAAACATCGCTCCCAGGCCCTCTCTGTTCGGCCTCCCTTTCGTCCCCATTCTTTTGTCTTTTGATTGACTACTATGCGCGGAGACTGGGCCTTACAAACGTTCTTTATAAAAAAAAATGCTACAATTGTAGCTGGATGTGGTTACATAAATTTACTTCTATTGTTGTCGGCTTTCGCAACTAATTTCGTAGTGTATTAAGAAATTGCAAACGAGCAACAATTATCGAAAGTGATTGCGGACTAGGATTGTTGCAGAAAAGATTAACAGGTTGTTGGAGAAGCTAGCAAGGGTAAGGATTGCATTCGTATAAAGCTAAATCATACCTTTCGCCGCTAAGTTCTCACGATAAATAACATCAGGAAGCTACGTGAGTAGTTTGTTTTCGTCTTCACAAACTAAACAGAAAAACTACACTGAGGTCCTATAGTATAAAGACATTCGCTTTCTAGGATTATTCGATAAAGATCAGGTTTTAGGCTTGTGATTTTCATCCGAGATTTTGTAATTTGGACGTTCTGGTGGCGTGAAAGACAGACATAAACACCTTAAACTTTGACCTCGGTGTTCTTTCGACACGTGCAGTGTACTGATCGCCTGCAGGGACAATGTGCAAGATATTTAGGACATCATTAAATAACTAACTTATTCATATGGTTGCCAAGTCACATAATATTATGTATACCAGAGTGAAGGAAAAAAGGGGTGTGTTGTGGGTGTGCTTGTGTTGAAAATCAGCTGTACTTACCGTACCGTTGCCAAGTGCCCCCAAGTGGACAGTAAGCGACATCGTGGTAAGCAGTAAAATAGACTCTGGAAGCAGAAATTTGGGGCTTCTAACCAGGCTGGTAGTAGCCGCAACTACAGTACACCCTTTTTTCTGTAAGGACCTTTTTTATAAGAACGTCGAGGCTGAGATTAACCAAAATTTTAAGAACGTATTAATTAAGAACATTCCTCAGGCTGAGAGTCGATTAAGAACGTTTTTATTTTGCTAATCTGTATGTAAATGACAAGCATAAAATAAAGGTAACAATAAATGTAAAATTAACCCAAATATCAGTAAGGGCATGCTTTGTATAACATTAACATTGGTTTTCTCATTGCATGACACACATCTCTGTTGGTAATGATCAGCAGTTCTTATTTATAACTGTTGCAAAATAACTTCCACACCATCAAAGCCATCAGGTGATACAAAGTCTAAAGTACAATGTATTATCAAGGTAGTTGACCTTGTATACCATGTAAATGTAAGAACATCTTAAGGACGTTTTCAGCGTCAAATTGCAAAAAAAGATAAGAACGTTCAGCCTCAGCTCCAAAATTAGACGTTCTTATAGAAAAAAAGTGTATCAAAATACAGCCAAAATGTGCAACCTTGGTCATGCTTGGTGCTCTGGATAAGTGCGTGATCAAGGGTCCAGGTTTCAAGTCTGGCCTGCACCAATGTGTTATGTTCCTTGGTAAGGAGTTATTATCACATTGCATTTTCTTTGCCCAGAAATATATGTGCCAGTGATGTGTCAGGTCAGTTTGACATGATTAGTGCTGTGAGTATTAAAACCTGCAGAGGACAAACATACATGTACATGTACCATCCAGTTGGCGCTACAGCATGCATTGTAATATTTTTATTTAAAAATCAGAGTTATGTAATGTAAACTAAGGTAACATAGTAAAACCTGGTGGCTCTTTGTCTGGAAGCAGGAACTTATTTCTGGTATCCAATAGAATAAAGTGACTAGGAACATTTGAACTCCTCACTGGATGCTATGCTTGTCTATTGCCAGGTTTGCCTCTAGCCTTTTTTTGCTCATAGGGTAGAGAGAGGTACTGCAAGTCTTAGTCAAAGTAAAGGGTCTTGCACAAGAACACTACTCAAATACTTTGGTCAGGCTGAGACTTCTCAACCCAGAGTCCAGCTCACTAACCATTGGGCCACCGTGCTTCCTAGAGTTTACAAGTCTTCCTGTGCAGTGACCTCATGGTTAGTGTGCTTGTCTTCGGATTGAGCGGTCCGCGTTCAAGCCCTGGCCAGGGACACTGTGTTGTGTTCTTGGGTAAGACACTTTACTCTCAGTGCCTTGTTCCACCCGGGTGTACAAATGGGTACCGGTGAATTTAATGCTGGGGGTAACACTGCGATGGACTAACATCCCATTCAGGGAGGAGTAGAAATACACTACTTCTAGTCATTTCATACTACAGTTACAGAAACTGAGATAAGCTCCTGCCTGATGGGCCACTTGGCTCATTGTATGTAGACTTAACCTTTACCTTACAGACTTCTTGCTAATTACTATTATCTTGGGATCCTGTGATTCATTGCAGGAAATGGACCCATCACCAAATTCACAGTTTGTGAGTAACCCTCATTTGAAGTTGCTGGATGATGACATGCTCTTTCACATTGGAATAAAGGCCGGTGATCATCAAAAACTCAGAAACTTGTTTGGTGATGTCAAGGTGAGTTTCTTAGTTACCGCATCTTTCAACTACATACAAACTCCACTCAAGTGACAGTTTCATGCTTTGCTGCCATCAATCATTCTAGCGGACTTCACAGGGAGCACAAGTTTACTTCAGTGGGCTCAAAAGAACACATCTCTGAGTTGTGATTGGTAGATGTGACCCATTTTGTTTGCCTGTTTTTTGTTTTTGTTTTCAAGGTTTGTTGGTNACCAACTCTATTATATATAGTTATATTAGATATGGCTTACTAGTAGTCGATCAAGGGTGAGAGGGTCCCACTGATGGCAGGCTTGGTCCCCTACCTTTCAGCAAAAATATGAGACAAAATTTTTTTTACTGATGATCATTGAAATACCATTAGAAATGGCGCTAGAGGAACTGTTGGTGGTTTAGCAAACCCTTAATCCCGCTTATACACAACTGTCCAGACGGATGTGGTTTATGTGCAAAAGAGTAAGTGACGAGAGAACTTATCAGTGTCCGAAAATGATGTTTGATATATTTTACAAGCACATCCTGTGGAATGGTTGTTTTATTGTTTTTAGTACACAAATCCCTTACTTGAGACTTGAACCAAAATTTGTCAAGAATACTAGGTAGATTGAAAAATCAAGGGTAAATCTCTCCTAACTTTTTTACCGAAGGAGGGAAAGATTGCTTTGAACAATCAGGAGGTTAAATAATCAAGGGTTCGAAGAATCAGGATACCAATGCATTCTCAATATTTTATTATTATAGGGAAGAGTCCTTTGACTTCTTGGACGATGAAGAAGATACAAAGCCGAGACCGAATCCCTTTAATGATGACTTAGGCTCGTTTGCTGTCTTGGACTCTGGTGCTAGCTGGGTCAGTAAAGAAGAAGTTGCAGACTTTATGAAGCAGTCTCGTCGTTTGGCACTGAATGAGGATGATGATGATGACAAGGACTTAGGGCCAGCATGGGGAGGTCCAGAGTACAGCTTACCTTCAGGTATCACTGTTAAGTAGCTGGTCAAGCTAATCTCCTATGACAATGGTGGTTAAAGAGATTAGCACAGGGAAAGTTACAAGACAGTGAAGTTTGCATTTTCAAGAGCCTGGTGACCCACCAGGCTGGCACTTTTTTATCTGCGATTTCCATAGTGGGAGGCGACCATACTATACTGCCCTGGATGAGATGGCAGTGAAGAGAGGCTGACTGTGAGCATTTTAGGGTGCTTTCCATTATGCCAATTAAAGTTTCTGGAAATTTTGGTCAGAAGTCAAATGGAAAGGTCAGTTTTGGTTTCTTCCGACCAGAATATTTGGGATCATCTCTGGGGGTGGTCCACATATTTCGGTGGGAATATTCCAACCAAAATTCGCCGTTCCATTTTTGATAACCGGTTCATTGCCCTACTTCTCTTCACTTATGTAGGGAATTCGGAAAAGGGATAAAAAATGGTAAGAGCCATTCCTCTTGGTTGGCCCAGTTTGATTAAAAAAACTTCATTCCATTTTCCTTGGGTATTCCCACTGGTCTCTGACTAGTTGGTGTGGTATAACGGAAAGCATCCTCAGTGTCTTGCCCAAGAATGCAATGCAATGACCTAGACTAGGACTTGAACCTGGACTACTCGATCCAGAATCCAGCATGCTTAGCCATTAGGCCACCCCAATTTTTCACAGACAAATGGAGAAAAAAAATATCATATGGGACTTTGCTTAGAAGTCCTGAAGGGTGTGAGAAACAGTAATTAAATAAATAATTAATAATTAAAAATTATGTAGGAGTCCTTCTCTGGATCAGTAGACAGCTCTTAGGTTCTCCTGTTTTCACCGAGATTTCCAGAGTTCTTTTAGCAGTTGTTCAGTAGTGTTTTATGAAGTTATAATTATATTATTCTCAGATTGTTTTATTAACATTTTTGTTTATTCAAACAGGCAAGCCACGCTCAGATTCAGCTGCTAAGTCAGTGCGGACACGACCTGCGCAAATGACAGCTACTGGTACTTCAAGCAATATCACGACAACTAAACAAAGTTCTTACTTGGAAAGTAGGTTCTACACCGTTTTCTAGGTCACAATCAGCTATTTGAAGCTTTAATTTTTGTTACAAAATAGTTTAAAGCTTTTGGGTAATTATCATAGAATGGCAAAAATTATGTGGAGCAAATGGACATATATTTACATGTCAATAGGAATGCAACACACCACAGAGGATAATCTGGTACAGACAGATATCTTGAGTCAGAATAGGAAAAAAAAACTCACAGTTTATGTAATGAGACATCAACAGACACCACAAGGACAATAAATTAATCATTGTCGTAAATTCACACTGCGATAACAAATTATCTTTGTATGACTATTTATTAAGAAGGTACCACAGGAAAAACTCCACCCAAAAGACCAGTTCCACCGAGCTCATCTGTACAACGATCTGTTACTTCTACATCAACTTCCTCAACTGCTGTTTCATCCTCCTCATCGACTCATGTGTCAGCAGCAGCTATAAGGAATCAGACTCCTAAAGGACCAGCTACCAAAACGGCTTTACAAACTGCATCATCATCAATCAATGATGGTAATAATAAAAATTAATATCTGATTGAGTGACATGTTTTTTACCCAAACCTCAGCTGTCAGCAGTGCAGGTGTATAAGAAAGATTACTTGCTGTTGATCACTTTTCTAGTTGAATTGCATATTAAGTGGAAGACTTAATGGCGCAATGGAGGCGCAGTGACCTCATGGTTAGTGTGCTTGTCCCTGGATCAAGTGGTCCAGGTTTGGGCTCTGGCCGGGGACACTGTGTTGTGTTCTTGGGCAAGACACTTAACTCTCACAGTGCCTCTCTCCACCCAGGAGTATACATGGGTACCGGCAAATGGTTGGGGAAACCTAACAAATTGCGGGGGAGTGACCTGCAATGGACTAGCATCCCATCCAGGGGGAGTAGAAATACTCCTAGCCGCTTCATGCTACAGAAACCAGGATAAGCTCCGGCAGCTATGAGCCAGGCAGATCTAAGGCTTCACTTTTTGATGGTGCAATGGGTCCAACTTGTGCATTGGTCTCCCCTGTAATGGACTGTACAAACTGTACAAGGAGGCGCTACCCAATAAAGGGGTATTTTTTTCCGGAAGGGTTCAGTAGCTAAAAAATGAGCTGAAGTATAGAAGGAGGGTGGAATTCTAAACTGCCATTAATATATGTGTGTAAAAGGTCATTTAAAATATCTCAAACAAACACACCTAACAGCAGAGTCATGTAGTAAGTACTTGAAGGCTGAAGGGTTAGTAAATCCAAGGTCATAGAAAAGGGATGCTGTACTAGTGTGCCTACTGTAGGTATGTGAAAGAATTACCATTTTGCTGCTGATGGTTGGTTAAGTGGCTAGTTTTCACATCTAGGGAACTAGCAATACCTCAAGCTGGTTCATGGTGCGGTAACCCCTGCTCCTTACTTCTCCCATCTTGAAAGGGAAGTTGCATTCTGTTTGAAGTTAAGCTTTGTCTTGAGATTGAGGGGGTGGGGGGTGGGGGTGGTGGTCAGAGGGGTACATTTCTCAAATTATTTATTTTTTGACGTTGTTCTTCATGACCTTATCAGCTAATGGGAGTCTGTGGTGGGCACAAACATACATGCATCCTTTATTATCTTTCCCCATGGGGGCTTTTTGAAGACAATATGGTATGATACTACAATTAAATACTAAAAACTGAATTTATTTGAAATACATTACTTATTTTGTCACTTGAAGCACTTAGCAGGCATTTTAGCAGCAATATTGTATACAATTTTGCATTTTTCCCAGTCATCAGCAGTGCACCTCAGGTATCTGTCACAGAATATAACAAGCTTCAAGCTGAAATTCGTCAATTAAGAAGTGATCTGCTGGTAGGTAAAATGACATTGGCACAGTATTTCCTGGACTAGCCATTTTCAACTTAACTTACCTGTAAGATACTTGCCTGGCCATCTAAAAATGCCATTGAATGTGTTGTCTTTAGGCAGCAAGGAATGATAAATCAGGCGTGCCATCAGCCCAAGAAACTGTAAAGAAAATTATCCGTGGTCAGGTATGTGTAGGCAACAAATTTTCCGTATGGGTTATTGAGTAAGTGTGAGGTCAAGATGGCTGGATATTGGCCAAGTTCTCTTTTTGCGAGTTTATGGACCGAGACGGAGTCAAAATCCATAAACCCGCAAAAAAAAAAAAAAAAATAGGCCAACATCCAATTATCTTGACCGAACAAGCTTGCTCAATAAAGGAACCGGTGTGGGTAATCTGCCGTGCGGGTAAACTGCCGGAAATTACGGTAGTACTGAGCGGACAAGATAGCTCCATCTTGCCCACTTGGGTAACCAATCACAGCACAGGATTTGGTTTGTCNAAAAAAAAAAAAAAAAAAATGAGGCCAACATCCAGTTATCTTGACCGAACAAGCTTGCTCAATAAAGGATTTATTATGTGGCTTTCGGGGAAATTTTTCTTGCAGGACACGGTGGGTAGTCCCGAGCGGACAAGATAGCTCCATCTTGCCCGCTCGGGTAGCTAATCACAGTGCAGGATTTGATTCATCTTGCCCGCTCACAGAGCCAGCCATATAATAAACCATATTATTGTTAATACAGTAACTGTAATTTATTAGCTTGCAATGCAGGTGTATTTTGGTGAGTGATTGAGCCAGTGCATTTTGATCGGATGAGCATTAGCATGGATTAGGAACTCAGAACCTGTAGGCTTGGGAAGAGAGGAAGAAGTGTCTGAAGGAGGGGGAGTGAGGCTGAGTGATGAGTTCCCTTTCTTACCAGCACTGCCCCCCGCCCCCACCTTCCTGAACCCAAAATGGCAGCAAATTTCTTCAATCATGAACTAATTCCAAACACTCACACCCCATCCATGAGAGCCAGTGCTGTAAGCTACAATGCATTAGGTCCTTAAACTATGGCAAAATGTGGCACGATATGGTGCATACTAGTTCCAATAGCCTGGGACTAGTGGATTTTGCAGTTGGACTGGGGGATTATATTAAATGTTCTTGACTTGCCCAACAGACAAGTGAAGCTCTTTTTGGGAACAAATGAGAAGTTTCAAATTATAGATTGAAGTACTGTAAAGAGATCAGCTTATTGTACTTGTTTTAAAATTGAATCTTTATTAGTTAATCAATCATGTTAGTGGGACTGTACATTGGGATAGTACATCCCAGTTACAGCTTGTACAAATTTATATAATTTCTTTACTTTGGTATGGCAGTGGTAAGAGGTACAGTGTATGTACTTTTAGAAGGCAATACATTGGTTTAACTCTTATGACAGTGAAGGTACTTCAAGTATTTACTTTTTCCTTGAAATTCTAGCCCTACACACTTGAAGTGTACAAGTCATTAAAAGAAAAATTGGCTCTCCTTGACTGTGCCATAAAGATGCANTCCACCCAGAGAGTTGCCTGGAGAGGGGCAAACTCGTTCCCAGGGTCCTTTCTCTGCCTCGAGAGCCTGAGACCCTGGAAACAAGGCTGGATAGGGGATGTTTACCTTTGCATGCTATCTAGGTTCGTGCCGTCTCAAATTGTGTGGTTCTCACGGGGAAAACATGTGGATTTCTTTCTTACGTTGACGGTTAACATTTGCCGGCGAATTCGGGGAAAACTCCTATGCCCAGTAAATACTTTCTTGTATGCTTTGACGAAGTACATGTATTAGGCGAGACTAGAGCAGTTTTTATTTGAGTGTCGAAACGCGCTCTACCCCAACTAAACCGCCGCCTACGCAGGCTAAAAACTATTACAGGTGAAATAATTATTTCTTTCAACTTTTTTTCATTGATTTTCAGATCTGTGGGTAAATTAGAGGAAGCCGCGGTAAGCACATGTACTTTCAGAAAGTTAGCGTAGAAGCAAGGAGAACTGTTAATTTAATATGTTAATATGATTTTGCTGGAAGCTGATTGCTTTACTGTATTTCTTCCCCAGATGCTTCAATTTAATCAAGCTATAAAAACAAAAGATCCTGGTGTAAGATTAACGAAACTTAAATATATTCTCAGGTAATTGCGTTTTAAACAGCTGGTAAAGGTTTTGGCATGCACATTCTAGAATATAAAAATTTTGTAATAGCAATACACAAGTGTTACTTTTCGTTGACTTCAGCTCATCTTTATCGGATTCGAGCTAAATGTAGGTCGCCGTTGAGCAGTCTTTATGTTGGCTATTTTATGCCTACCTTTTGTCGCTGCTGAAAGTTGTTTGTTTCCTGTGTTTGCAGGCATTATTTTGAAGGTTATCCACAACTAGCGGAGCAAACAACTTACCTAGCGGAGTACATCGACTTACTAGAACAGCAAATAAACATTGAGGTAAAAACTACACTGGTTTAGTATGAATTAAGGAATAAACTGCTCCGAGTTGCGATACTAGCGGCTCTCTCTCTGGGACTGACAGCAAACGGAACGGAATGAAACAGCACGGCAGGGCACGGCACGAAACGAAACGAAACGAAACTTAACGGAACAGAACGAAACGATACTTAACGAAACGGAACAGAACGGCACAGCACGGCACGGATCGGAATAGAACGGAACAGAACGATGTCAAATGTTACCTTTGTGAACAACCTAACATAACGAAAAACGAATAAGATCAGTTTTTTCGATGGGTATAAATCTTCAACTTACTCTTATTCAGAGATTACTGATATAGAAATGTTGTCCTTAGTACAGAAGCGTTAAAGCGTTTGTGATAATGCCCAGGCAGTTTACCGTTGCTTGATCAAAGTTAATGGTGTTTTAACACGATAGAAGGAAAAATCATGAGTAGTGTATTCATCAACAGTCAAGATGCCTCCTTCCACCGCGCAGCAACACCAAGAAAACCAAGGAATTCCCAGCCGTAACATTGGAGATCTGATCGTAATTTGCGGTTCTATTTCTCCATTTCTCTTTAGTTTTAGTTTCGATTGATAAGATATGTCAAACACCCGAGAGGCCGGGACAGCGTTTTACCAACCGAACACCTCGAGTCAAAATGCTCCGCTGCGTGTCGTTTGTTCAACTCTTTTCTCGGTGTGTGGGTTTGGTGTAATATATCAAACACGAAAGACCGTGTTTGACCACATTTCCAAACACCGAGAAGAGAGTTGAACATACGACGCGCAGCGGAGCATTTTTGGTGAGCTTCAAGGTGTGGGGAAATGTGGTCAAACACTGTCTTGAGTGTTTGATATATTTTCTCAATCAAAACTAAATCTAAGGAGAAAACGGGGAAATAAAACGTAAAAATCTCTGCTAATTAAGATCAGATACCCAAACATCGTCACGGTCATGATCTCCTTTGTTTAAATTTGACGAATTACTAATGAGTTTGAGAAATACATTACTAAAGTAACGGTGAACATTTTCCATCGTTCCTCTTGTGCGAAATGTTGTGTTAAGGTTTTTGTTTTACTTCCATTGATGCATTGCAGGACGCGGACAGCCGAGCTGAACTGGAGAAGAAAAATCACGTGATGGTTGCTCACCCGAGACAAGCGTCGTTACCATTAAACTCTGTGATTGTTACCTTGTATTACTGCTGTCGGTATCATTTTGGAGAGCCAGAGGTACTTTGTGCAATTAGCTCATTACTACAACTTTTGAATAAATGTTCTTTATTCTTGTTGATCGTTCAGTCAATCTTGGGAAGAGGGGTAGTGCGGAGGTTGACTCGGAATTCCAAGCGCACTGACATGCAACCGGTGGCAGACGCGGGAAAATCACGTGAGTCAAGTCATGATTGCTGCTGATTGGTTAAGAAAACAACATCAACGTCCTGATTGGTCAATGACCAGAACGCGCTATAAACGTTAAACTTGAAGTAGTCACAAAAGGGTATTTTGAAAAAAATTCATAAAACTGTCACGGGAAAGGAACTCTATCAAAGTGCCTCACGGCAGTTTAGTTGATACTTTTTCTGCGTTTATGTTTGAGTGTGAAGCACGGCTGCTGCCTGAGTTTTACTATCTAATGTTTCTTTGTACTTTGTTTACTGCAGAGTGTTGAAAGCAGTCCATTGGCTATTCGTGCTAAGTTTAAGGTACGTGTACATAAAAATAATTGAGCCTTTCAAGGATGTTTATACTAATAGAAAAATTAATGGGAGAAGACCAAATGACGAAGGATTACGACGAAGCGATGTTTCGTTTCTGTGTAGCGTGCTGGTGGTGGTTTCACCTGGTGCTTTCAACGAGCACGTGCGCGACGAACGCGCGTGGCTAAGTCAGGCCGTGAGGCAAGTGCGTGTCGAACGCTCGTGGAAGCGCGTGTGGCGAGCTCGTGAAGTATAAGCAGAGCGAGGAAAAGAAGAAAGAATTTTCTTCACTACCAGTCTCGACCTTGACGTTTGTTTACAACGAATCTTGAGGGACACTCCTTGCAGCTACCTGCCGCGTCGG